CATGAATAAAGTTCATCATCATCTGATTCATTTCCTGATAGTTCTGTTGTTTAATTTTTGGCAGAACACCTAAATGTCAAATGTAATAGACGCGGCTGATAAGAAACAGCTTTTAAGGGCTGACAATACTTATGGAACATTTGAGAAACAAGACCCAAGAGTTAGTGAGGGATGGATGATAAATTGGGTCACAAATTATTCAATTGTTGGTTCTCTTCCTTAAATTGCAGGTTTCTCCCCCTACAAAAATACCCAACATTCCAGTTGATGGGTAATTTCAACTCTGTGGATGTACATCTCTGTACTATCTCTTAATTCTCTTTAAATTAATTTATTGATGAATTTTATCAGTGATCCATGCTATTCCTAACATTTAAATAATAGCTCCATTTTCTGTAAAGTGCTGTTTTTGTTATTAACTATTTTGAAAACGTTTCCATAGGATGCTATTAGTAAATTCATTGTGTCTAAACTATCCACATTTAAATTGTAAAATTCAAACCTGTCCATTCTTAAGGGCTTGGGAAGCTTCTCGTGTGTCACCTGCGAATGCTAAAGAAAGAGTTCCATAATCATAAGGTGATTATTGAGGAAAAGAATGAAAAAAAACAAATTTTTATTACATCAACAGGACACAAAATAACATACATAATCTCTACAAACTTCTAAATTGAAAAAAGGTAACCAGACTTCGCAAAGAAATCGCATTCGTTGAGATTTTCGCTCGGTCACGGACAGAGGAACCGCAATATAATTATTTTTATGCAGAAAATCATTTGAGTAAACCGAAATGCGAAGCAGTACCATCGATAACTACACGGAAGCAGAAATGTTGAAAGAATTATAGTCAACACCAATCTGTGCAAGGCCGTTTAATCTGTGAACAGAGACATGATCAGACTAAACCGTACGTCAAAGAAGTAAGGTAAGGTAAGGTAAGGTAAACTTTATTTAATAAGTAGGTTGAGATTGTTTGGCAGCCGAAGAGCTGATGTGGACCTACGATACACAATCAAAATTTGACAAACACAAAAGATTTTAACAAAAGAATAAAAGCTATGCCCAGGGAGAAATCAATAGATGAGTGGAAAGTAGGTGTTCACTATGAAACAACATCTACGTGAAAATGCCCTCCATTTTAGACGAAGGGATTGCCAAAAAATAAACTCTAAACTTCTGTTTGTATTTGTGGGAGTTCTGCCATTAATAAACTTAAGTGATCTCTCTTTTGTCTGAACCTACCAGCCTCGTGAAGATTTGGTGCATTTCGCACTGGAACGCCGTTTTTACATATCATCTTTTCGGCGAAAAAGAANTGCGCAGCCATTTCATGGAATGTCACACAACGCTCTCTACTTCGTTCGCGGAGAGATTCGCGTGACGCTTCAAAGAGCGGCTGCAGAGGACACACGGAAAGAAGCGTGACAGCTCACCATATAACGGCGGGGTAACATAAGAGCAACTTACGAGAGGACCAGGAAATAGGGAATATGTACCAAAGTTCCTTCACCTTTATTCCAGTACTTCATAGCAAATACAACCATGAATGAAACAGCAAGGACAAAAACGACTAGTATGTCCCAAAACAATATCCCATAACAAAAGCTTTTTCACTGTAGAAAATTAAGCCTTGTTCTGACCTGGAAGTACCTAGTCTCCTTCGTCGCCGTTGAAGACGAGTCTAAGAACGGCTGCGAAGGAGACTGGGAAGCATTTACATGTACCGTTGCACTTCTGTCCTCTTGTTGTAGATATGTCCTCTGACGTAATATGATACAATGGCCAATCACATCCTGTGATCTGTAGAGCGACACGTGGCTTGGGACTGGTTAAGAGACTCCGTTGCAGTTATGTCTTCAAGCAAAAGTGCTCATTCAAGGGGGTCGGGATAAGTAGAAAATTTGACACGTATGAGCAACTTCCAAAAGATGCTGTTCGCATGTTTCCTTGAAGTTCTATCGCTCCTTCGTTAACGCCATGTGATCGCATCGTTCTTCTAATTTAAGCGTCCTAAACGTGGAAGAGCAACTGCTACGTAAATAACAAAGCGACTTTTGACCAAAGGATGCGTTATTGTTCACGCTTTATTTGCAGTCTTGCTTTATTTACAGAC